CTGAGACTTCTGAAACTGTGAACCCCAAATAAACTTTTCCTTCTCTAAAACTGTTCTTATTGGGTCTTTTGGTCACAGCATCAAGAAAGTTCAAATAAAACATGCCTTTTACTCTCATTTACATCCCACCTGACTGCTCCAGGCTCAGTCAATGAACTCTATAGACTGAGCCCCTGCTTCATTTTTCACGTGGTTGATTAGACCATGTCACTCTTTAGGTATTTTATTTTACTGGGGCGGGGGGTACTAGGGATTGAATCCAGACATGCTTTACCACTGAGTCACATCCCCAGCCCTTTTTATTTTTTATTTTGAGATAAGATAAGGCCTCAAACTTGTGATCCTCCTGCCTTGGCATCCTGATCTGCTGGAATTTAAGTCTTTATTCAAAGCAAAACAAAACAAAACAAAAACAACTATAGAGAGCAGTTACCTAGATCAAAGGACATGAGCTCATTGGTTGGAGCGGAGACAGAGTGAAGGGTTCAAGGCAGCATGTGGACAGTAGTGCTAAGCCTGCAGCAGCTGGACACAGCTGGGCAGCTGCAGCAAACATGCCTGTGTCATTGGCTAGGTGACTAATATTTCAAAAATGAACAGTGTTTTTCACCTGTCAGCTGGTCCCCTGTGGGACCAGACAGAGACTCATCCATAACCCTGTGAATCCTGAAATGTCTTAATTAAGAGCATTTAAAAGCAGAAAACCTTGTAACATTTAAATCACATTAACTTATTAGCAAACACTTGATTGACTTGGTCCTATTTTATAGACTTGTGTCTGTAAAGCTAAAGAACATGAAAGATTTAAACAATTTTATGTCTAGACTGGGGAGATTTTCACTGGATTTGTTGAAGCGAGAGAGAGAGAGAGAAGGGGGAGAGAGAGAGAGAGAGAGAAGGGGGGAGAGAGGGAGAGAGAGAGAAGGGGGAGAGAGAGAGAGAGAGAGAGAGAGAGAGAGAGAGAGAGAGAGAGAGACTTTTTGTATTGTTAGGGGAGAGCTTTCTATATAAACTTGGAGAGGCTAAGAAACATTTCACTACAGCTAAAAAAGACAGAGTCCATTCTCATTACAGACCACTCTCTTTCTGTAGATAATCTGCTGCCCCATGCAGAACAACTCTGATTTAATTGCTCTGGGGCAGGGCAGGGTCTGGGCATCGGAAGTTTTCATGCTCCTCGGGTTCTCCTGATGGGTGGCAAAGCTTGAGGTCCAGTTCCTTAAATTGTATCAGATGCATTTGTACCAAATTCAATTGAGAAGTTGCAAGGAAATTAAATTTCAACTGATATTACATAAATAATAGAGCAAATGATCCTGAATTGGAAACACTGAACTTTGAGCAATTCAGACTGAAATGCTGATTATTCTCTTCACTATTTTAGATTACTCTAATACCAAAACCAACAGACTCACATGGATGGGAATTAACCAATTAACATGGATGAAGCAGGAAGCACATGGGAAGTTACTATAGATAGCACCTTGGATTTTTCTTAGAAGGAAGTTTAAAGCAAATGAGACATCATTCTGTGTACTCCTTGCTAAATTTTGGATGGAGTCAAAGCTCAAAGGGGACAAAACTGTCATTGTTGATGACCAGGTGATTGCTGTTCTTAAAATTGAGGAACACTGTTACCAATCAGATGGTCCTCTGTGTGTCAAGAAACAGAGACTAGTGGGTATCTCTGTGATGGAATTTCGATGTATCTTCATTATGTCTTAATTCAGTCCTTTAAGGAATAAGCCCCTTGACATATTTTCGTCATGTTAGCTTGCGTGGCAAACACCTGTTTTACTGAGTTTTATTTTTAAGGCATGTGTTGGTAACATGGAGAATATGACCTAGAAAAATAAATATCTTTTCTGAATGTGGAGATATTTCTGTGAAAGATAGAGTGCAAAAAGAAAAAATCGAAGTTTGGCTTTTTGATTTCTAGAAGAAATAATTTAGTATAAATTCAGGAGCTATCAGTACTCTTTTGCACAGCTATAAAAGCCAGAGTGTATTACCATCATGGGCCAGTGAATGTGAGAGCCCGGCACCAGTGGTTCTCCAGTATGCTACTACAGGAGTGACCTGGGGAGTGTTCCGAACCGCCAATGGCTGGCTCCTGCCCAGAACAATTTTGATTTAATTGCTCTGAGGAAGGGTCTGGGCATCACAAGTTTTTCATGTTCCTCAGTTTATCCTTTAGGATGCAAAGCTGAGACCTTCCCCATTAAAATGTCCCCATGACATGCATTTGTGTCAATTTTAGTTAATCACAGAAGTCCCCCAAATCAATAAGTTTTAATTGATGGCATCTAAGTTACAGAGTTACTGATCCTGACATTGAACCACTGAAGTTTGAGCAATGGGGACTTAAAAATTGCATATTTTAAGATAATTTTTATGCCAAAGAAAGAGACTCACATGAATGAGCGTGGACTATTAGGGCACCAAGCACAAAGGGAAATCACTGTAGACAGCACCCTGCACTGGGAAGAAGGAAACTCAACTCAGGAGAGACATCACTCTGTGCACTCCTTGCTGAACTCTACCTGTGGTCTGGTGAAATTTAATGGTTAAATACTATCTGGATCATATTCAGAGATTACTGATGGTCTACAAAAAGTTCTCTTCTTTTATGAGAAGAAGTCATAAACAGAGTGTAATGTTTTCCCTCTAAACAGTTTTCTTTGACTTTTTATAATGCCACAAGATAAAATAATCCAGATATCTAAACACCAAAGAAATTTGAATGAAGAAACACATTGATATTAATATGAAAATTGTATTATCTATCTATCTATCTATCTATCTTGCTATGATAAGTAGCAGGCTAGTATCCACATGCCCAAAACTCAAGTCCAGAAAGAGAAACTGAGCATCATCAAGAGCTCTTGTATGTTTTTTGTTTTTTTTAATTTATCTTGTCCCCCCTCCCTCCACCATGGAGAATCACTCTCCTGATTTTTAATGTAGTCTTATCATTGTTGTTGTTTTTTTGTACTTCATTCACCTACATGTTATAGATTTCTAAACTCTAACAGTTCAGTTATATATGCCCTTGAATTTTATTTAAATAGAATTACCATATACACCATTATTTATTTATTTTGATTAGTTATACATGACAGCAGAATTCATTTCAACTCATTTTGCACAAATGGAGCACAACTTCTCAATTCTCTGGCTGTACACAGTGCAGAGTCACACCATTCATACAATCTTACATGTAGATAGGGTAATAATGTCCATCTCATTACACCATCTTTCCACCCCCACACTCCTCCACACCCCTCTCTCCCCTCTGCAAAATCCAAGTTTCTCCCTCTTCTCTAGCCCCCCACCCACCACCATTATGGATCAGCATTGCATATCAGAGGAAACATTTAGCCTTTGATTTTTTATATTGCCTTATTTCACTTAGCATGATATTCTCTAACTCCATCCATTTACCTGCAAATGCCATAATTTCATTCTTCTTTAAGACTGAATAATATTCCATTGTGTATATATACCACATTTTCTTTATCCATTCATTTGTTGAAGGGCATAAAAGGTTGGATCCATAGTTCAGTTATTGTGAATTGTGCCGCTGTAAACATTGATGTGGCTACATCACTGTAGTATGCTGATTTTAAGTCCTTTGGGTATAACCTGAGGATGGTTGGGTCAAATAGTGGTTCTATTCCAAGTTTTCTAAGGAATCTCTGTACTGCTTTCCATAGTGGTTGCACCAATTTGCAGTCCCACCAGCAATGTATGAGTGTATGTTTTCCTCCACATCCTCACCAACACTCATTGTTAATTAGAAACTATTTTGAAAATTTATACTCCAATAAAATAGAAAATCTTAAAGACATTGACACATTTCTAGAGATATATGATCTGCCCAAACTGAATCAGGAAGACATACATAATTTAAACCTATCAATTTCAAGCAATGAAATAGAAAACACCATCAAAAGCCTACCATCCAAGAAAAGACCAGGACCAGATGGATTCTTAGTCAAGTTCTACAAGATTGTCAATGAACAACTAACACCAATACTCTTCAAATTATTCTATGAAATAAAAAGAAGAGAACCCTATCAAACTCAATCTATGTGGCTGGTATCACCCTGATACCAAAACCAGACAAAGACACATCAAGGAAAGAAAACTTCAGACCAATGTCTCTGATGAACATAGATGCAAAAATTCTCAGTAAAATTCTCCCAAATTGTATACAAAAAGATATTAAAAAGATAGTGCACCAGGATTAAGTAGGGTTCATCCCAGGGATGCAAGTTTGGCTCAACATAAAAAAATCAATGAACATAGTTCATGACATCAATAGACTAAAAAATAAGAATTATATGATCATCTCAATAGGTGCTGAAAAAGCTTTTGACAAAAATACAGCACCTCTGTATGTTTAAAGCACTAGAAAAACTAGGGATAGTAAGAACATACCTCAACATTGTAAAAACTATTTATACTAAGCCCAAGGCCAATATCATTCTAAAAGGAGGCAAATTGAATGTATTCCTCTAAAAACTGGAAGAAGACAGTGATGCCCTCTTTCACCACTTCTATTCAGCACAATCCTGGAAGTTCTAGCCAGAAAAATTAGACAAAAGAAATTAAGAAATTAAAGGGATATAAATTGAAAAAGAAGAATTCAGACTATCCTTATTTGCTGATGACACGATTCTATACGTAGAGGATCCAACAATTCCACCAGAAAACTTCTAGCGCTAACAAATGAATTCAGCAAAGTAGCAGGCTATAAAATCAACACCCACATATCAAATGCATTTCTGTACATCAGTGATGAATACTCTGAAGAGAAGTTAGGAAAACTACTCCATTCTTAATAGCCTCAAAAATAGTAAAATACTTAGGAATCAATGTAACAAAGGAGATGAAAGACCTCTACAATGAAAACTACAGATCACTAAAGAAAGAAATAGAAGAAGTTAAAAGATGGAAAGATCCCCCATATTCTTGAATAGGCAGAATTAGTATTGTCAAATTGCCATACTAGCAAAAGTGTTATACAGATTTAATGAAATTCCTATTAAAAAAACCCATTGTCATTCTTCATAGAACTAGAAAAAGCATCATAAAATTACTTTGGAAAATTAAGAGACCCAGAATATCCATAATAATCCTTAGCAAGAAGAGTGAAGCAAGAGGCATCAACATATCAGACCTTATACTATACTACAGAGCTATAGTAACACAATCAGCATGATATTGGCACCAAAATGGACATATTGAACATTGGTACAGAATAGAAGACACAGAGACAAACCCACATAAATACAGTTATCTCATACTAGACGATGGTGCAGAAAACATACACAGGAGAAAAGATAGCCTCTTCAACAAATGGTGCTGGAAAAACTGGAAATCCCTATGTAGCAAAATGAAATTAAACCCCTATCTCTCACCTTGCATGAAACTCAACAGTGGATCAAAGACCTAGGCACTAGACTGGAGACCTTGTGCCTAATAGAAGTAAAAGTAGGCTCAAATCTTTAAAATGTCAGTTTAGGACCTGACTTCTTCACAAGACTCCTAAATTGCAAGAAATAAAATCAATAATCAATAAATGGGATGGATTCAAACTAAAAAGGTCTCCTCAGCAAAAGAAACAATCAATAATGTGAAGAGAGAGACTACAGAATGGGAGAAAATCTTTACCACATGTACATCAGATTGAGCACTAATCTATAGGATATATTAAAGAACTAAAAAAACTTAACACTCCTGAACAGATCCTTCACAGAGGAAGAAAAACAATGGATCAACAAATATATGAAAAAAATGTTCAACATTTCCAGCAATTAGAGAAATGAATGCTAAAACTACTCTAATATTTCATCTCACTCCAGTCAAAATGGCAATTAACAGGAATAAAACAGCAAAAATAAGTATACACTTTTATATTTCCATTTTTTTTTTACTCAATACTCTGGAAAAGCTGAGAATAGCAGTGTGTAGGTGGCCTCAACTTTCTCTAATTCCTGGTGTCCATTGTTACTGTGCCATGAATATGGACAGTACTTCTTGTGCTTGTGGTCAGGGATAGCCTCACAGACTGACTGAATTGGGAGATGTCATGCACATTGAGAAGGTGAGTTTTCTTGGGATAATACTAGACCATGGAAACATGCCCTTCAAAGGGAATGGGGACCTCAGCACTTTCTGTCTTTTTCTTTCTAGTTGGTGAGGGGTGCAGTTTGATCTACACCAAGATTATTGCCTTTGCCACTCAGCAACCTCAGCAAACAACCACAGAAAGGGGGCCACTTGGTCATGACTGTAACCTCCAGATGGTGAAAAACAAAAACACACTTTCCATAAGTGCATTGTCTCAGTTATTCCAACTGATCAGTATGAAAGGAATAATAAAGTAATTTATGTCATTGTTTCACCTTTGAGAACTTCCTTTGAACCAATAGCATATGGCAACCTTCAGCACATAAATTAGAAATTCAGACTTTCCTGTAGGTAATTAACCTTACTTTGCAGGCTCTTATTCTGTCACTGGCTAAGACAAATCCAGCTACAGTGTCACAGGAACACATTAGGGAAAGAGCTGGGGACAACCTGCATTCAACAGCAAACAAGCCCTGAGGCCCATCACTCAGAGCAGAGGATGGAAGACATCAGGGGTGAGAGGTACCAATCAGGTATTGACCCCTGTCCCTCATATCCAGTGATACAGTGATATATTCAGTCATATCTTGAGGAAACTATGAGGAGATTGGTAGGAAATAACAATTTGTTAAGAAGATTTGCCAGTTTGATAGAGGGTCAAAAAGGTTGACCCTGACAACACAGAGACCTTCCATCGTGATGGCAAAGCTGTTGAAGGATCCCAACACAGAGAATGGGACTATAGGGATCTAAGCCTCGGTTGCCTTGAGAAGTTTCTAATAGAAATGATTTAGGATTCAGAAATTTGGAAATGATCACAGGGAGCCTTGCAGGGAATGTGCAAAGTGACCCACAGAACAGAAAGCAGAGACACTGAGCAGCACAGCACTGGGTCATAGGAGGTCCAGTCCCACAGAGGACCTATGGGGACTGGAAGGACCACGCGGGCAACATTGAGCTGGAGCTTCTGTGCACCCACCCCCAGTCACTGGGTGAGCTCTGCTCCTGGACCCTTAAACCCTCCTGCCCAGAGGTCGCTCTTCATCCAGAGAAAGTCCTCAGGCAGGAAGGTCCAGGGGCTTGCTTTCCAAACCCATTTTGGGCACTAAAAGGACAAATGCTCACAGAGCAGAGGAGGAGCATCTCAGATGGAATGTTATGGCTTTTAAATCTTGATAGATGTCCTAACCCCCCACCCCCAAAAAAAATCAGAGTAGCACAGCAACTCAAAAGGGAGAAAGAAAGAGACATGAGGCCATTATGGGTGTTGCATATTTATTGAAGATGCAGGTCTATGTCCACATGAGACAGCAAGTCAGAGAGCAATAATATCCAAAGGGGTAAGATGAGAGTAGAGGAAGGCTGACATTGGTCAGGGACTGAGCAGGCAGTGGGGGAGGGGAGTGTCCCATTGCTCCATCCTGTGGGGGCTGAGAGATGAGGCCTTGGAGGACACTGGTTGAAGAACAGAGATGAGGTCAGATCT